CCGACGACTAGAGACTGCTGGATGGGATTATTAGCCACTTGGGAGATACCTGCGTTCAGCTAATATTGGCGATTTGTGAGTCTGGAGCTCGTGGAGCGAAGTGCCCGTACGGATCCCGTTCGTGAGTTTGCAGCGTTCCCTTGCTTGCGGTTCGCATGATTATACTGGATACGCATGCAGCCTGTGTTATTGCGAACGGGGAGCATTCACTAAACGGCGGTTTGTACATTTCAAGCTGAGGGTACCGTAACAGCCTGTATTATTATTATCGCCATTTATATAGCGTCAACAGATTCTGTAACTCTTTACAATATTATTAGAGGGAGGACTTAACTATAGATAGGACAATTACAAGAAAACTTACAAAAGCCATATGTTGAAGAGGGCCCTGCTCAAATGAGCTTACAGTCTATAGACACATATATTCTTAGTCTATTCTGCCATTTAGGGTTATTAATTTTTTTCTTTTTTTTTAAATATGTCTTCCTTCTAGCTAGAAAGTAACCTTCCTTGTATTCACTCATCCAGTAAACACTGTAATCTCATGCTAGGTGACACAACGATACCTACAGTTTAATTAAACTGAAGCCCCAATGTGTTCTGGATCAAAGATCCTCAAACTCTGCCAAAATTTGAAAACAATATAAACACAGCACTGAGTTACCAAATACACTTCAAAAATGGTAAAGACAATTACTTTAGAACTGCATCATCCAAAATAAATAATACATTCAAGGTGATACAGAAATAGTTTACAGTGTTTTAACAATAATATACATGTAAAACTCAGAGAGGTGAACAAAATCATATAGTATAACATGTTTATAATATTTATCGAAACAGCACAATGATGTAAAACTTTAAACTTTATAAGTGTAAAATGAAATTGAGAAATGTCTACTTTCCTCCCATAAAAATCATTGCCTGAGGCTTTAACCTCTGCAGTTTTGGAGAATTTCAATTCAAATGAAATGTAGGCCAATCAGCTGTTCAGAATCCCCAAGAGAGGGTTCCCTGCTGGAAAAGAAGTTGAGTAACCTTTTTTTTGTTTTTTTCTATGGGGTTGGGGCGGCTGGTATTTATAGAATTAATGCCACACTCCAAAACTGAAAATCAGTATTTAACAATAGAATTAAGAAAAAAAATTATCTTTCCACACTGAATGGACTGAATGAAAAATTTTAAATAATAGCATATGAACATGTGTAAAATTATGTCTGGGAAAATTTATGCCAGTTTTACAATTAGCATATTGATATTCTATATAAAAATGTTGCAAACAATTTCTATAAAATACTCTATTAAAACACGTATAAATTGTATAAACATTCATTAGTAAAATAGATTTTTGTGCAGTTATATATTATTCATGGGCATCTGTAGGGGGGACATGGGGGGCACTCTACAGATCAGGTAAGTGAGGAATGGGAGGAGGGCAGCTTACAGATCAGGTAAGTAAGGGGTGGGGAGCAGCCTACAGATTAGGTATGGGGGGCACCCAAACACACACAGACTGACCCATACACACACTGACTGATCTCCACACACACAGACTGACCCCCCACACCCATACACACACACACTGATCCATCCCACACAGACTGACCCATACACACAAACTGAACCCCCCGCCCACAGACTGACCCATACACACGCAGACTGATCCCCACACACACAGACTGACCTCCCACAGCCATAAACACACAGACTGACCCATACACACACAGACTGGCCCACCCTACACAGACTGACCTCCCCACACACAGACTGATCCACCCACACACAGACTGATCCACCCACACATAGACTGACCCCTACACATACAGACTGGACACCCAACCCCCACACACAGATTGATCTCCCCACACCCATACATACACAGACTGTCCCCCCCATAGACTGACCCCCTCACATACAGATGTGTGTGTGGGGGTGAATGTATGTGGGGAAGAAGTGTGTATGTGGGTGAAGAAATGATGTGTGTGAGGGGTGCACTGTCTGTGTATGCAAAGGTGTACTATGTGTTGGTGGGAATGTACTGTATGTGGGGGTTTCACTGTCTGTGAGGGTGTACAGTGTTCAGGGGGTGTAGAAAGTGGGATAGGGAAGAGCTTTACAATTGTTACGTTAATAATTGTTTACAAAAAAATAATAATAATATTCCCCTTTCCCTCATCTTACCTTGCAGTGAGGGGTTGGCACAATCAGATCTGTGGTGGCTGAAAAGGCTTCCTATCCATCAGGTACAGGGGAAGTCACAAGATGAGAGGGATCTCTCTTGGAGCTCAAGCACTTACGGGAACTGGCCCATACAAACCCAGACTGACCCATACAAACCAACAGACAAACCCATACAAACCCACACAAACACACACAGACTGCTCCCCCAAACACAGACTGACCCATACACACACAGACTCCTCCCCCACACAGACTGACCCATACACACACACAGACTGACCCCACACACACAGACTGACCCCATACACACACAGACTGACCCATGCACACACACATACTGACCCCACACACAGACTGACCCACACACACAGACTGACCCACACACAGGTAGATTGGAAGTCACAAGATGAGAGGGATCTCTCTTGGAGCTCAG